ATGTTCTGCTTCTCTCTTGGAGATTCACAATGCTTATTAATATATTAATGCTCTGAGGAATCCCACATCAAAGAGCCTGGATTTTTCTTTTCCCAAACATTCTTCTCTCCTGTACTTAAATACGGATTAGGAAAAAAAAAAAAAAAGAAGCATTAAAGCTATAGACAATTCTTAAGAGGGCTTTTTGAAAATATGGATTAGATGGATTAGATGAACCTTCTCCTAGTGAAAGTTAGCCTAACAAGGTTATTATTAAGGAATACAAAGACAACTGCTAGATAAATCAGAAGAATGAGGTCCAATATTCACTCGAGTAACCAGGTATTTATCTGTATTTGTAAGTGGCTCTCTAACATGTTTATTTCATTGGTATAAGCTTTCCAACAGAACCCTAAAGCGATTATATAGAACACTGGGGCTTCCTAATAGCCTCTAATTTCACAAGCCATAGTAATTTAAAAGACAGTGGATGAAGGGCCAGGAGCAGGGAGATTTCTACTGAAGAATACAAATGTGTTCCTGGCTACATTGCTTCTGCCTCTTCCTGGGGAAAGGCAAAATGCAAACAGGAATGTGATGGAAACTTCCAGCTGGTGGTTTTGCATTGCAGGAAGAAAACTGTTTGTGAACACGAAAATTGCTGATAATTGGGTGTGAACGCCTGGAAGGGAGACAAATGCAGAAACACTGCAGAATCTTTATTTCTATCAAGGGCTGAACTCTGCTGGTGGGTGTGCAAATTGGCACCAACTTTTGGAGGGGAATTTAGCAGCGTGCTGACATTCTGACCCAGCGATTACCCTCCTAGGAATCTATCTTATAGCAATACTTGTTCATGCACAAAAAATGTACAAGGATGCTCATGATAGCATTGTTTGCAGGTGTGAAAACTAGAAATACCCTACATCCATCAACAATAAAATGTTTAAACAGGCTGGGAGCGGTGGCTCATGCCTGTAATCCTAGCACTTTGGGAGGCCGAGGCAGCGCAGATCACTTGAAGTCAGGAGTTTGAGACCAGCCTGGCCAACATAGTGAAACCCCATCCCTACTAAAACTACAAAACTTAGCCAGGTGTGGTGGCAGGCACCTGTAATCTCAGCTACTCGGGAGGCTGAGGCAGGAGAATCACTTGGACTCGGATGGTGGAGGTTGCAGTGAGCCTAGATCGTGCCACTGTACTCCAGCCTGGGTGACAGAGCAAGACTTAGTTGCAAGGAAAGAAGGAACGAAGGAAGGAAGGAAGAGGGAAGGAGGGAAGGAAGGAAGGAGAGAGAGAGGGAGAGAGAGAGACAGGGAGAGGGAGGGAGGAAAAGAAAGAAAGAGAAGAAAGAAAGAAAAAGAAAAGGAAAGAAAGAAAGAGGGAAGGATGTGTTCAAACATTTTCTTTTAAACAAAAAATTTTAAACAAAATTATGGCATATCCATATTTTAGAATAATTTGCTACTAATACATGGAATGAGGGAAATCTATATATTCTGACACAGAACATTGTCCCCGATATGCTAAGTGCAAAAAACAATTGCAAAATAGTATCTATCCTAGGAATCCACTTAAAATTGTTTTTAATGTTAATATATTCATAGAAAAATATATGAAGGAATATGTGCCAAAGATTACCAGTGGCTATTTCTGGGGCATGATGTATGTATTTCATAATGTTTACATTTTTATGAGCATGGATTACTTTTGCAAACAGGAAAAATCCAATGAAGATTAATTATTTCCCCAAGGGAAGGAAGCAAATAAAAAAGGAACCAGCTGGTGGAGAAAAGAAAGAGAGATCGGACTGTGACTGTGTCTACGTAGAAAGAAGTAGATATAGAGATTCCATTTTGTTCCGTATTAAGAAAAATTCTTCTGCCTTGAGATGCTGTTAATCTGTAACCCTAGCCCCAGCCCTGTGCTGGCAGAGACGTTTGCCGTGTTGACTCAAGGTTTAATGGACTCAGGGCTATGCAGAATGTGCTTTGTTAAACAACTGCTTGAAGGCAGTATGCTTGTTAAAAGTCATCACCACTCTCTAATCTCAAGTACCCAGGGACACAATACACTGTGGAAGGCCGCAGGGACCTCTGCCTAGGAAAGCCATGTATTGTCCAAGGTTTCTCCCCATGTGATAGTCTGAGATATGGCCTCGTGGGAAGGGAAAGACCTGACCATCCCCCAGCCGGACACCATAAAGGGTCTGTGCTGAGGAGGATTAGTAAAAGAGGAAGGTCTCTTTGCAGTTGAGATAAGAGGAAGAAGGAGTGGAATGTCTCGGTGTAAAACCCGATTGTATGTTCCATTTACTGAGATAGGAGAAAACCACCTTAGGGCTGGAGGTGAGACATGCTGGCAGCAATACTGCTGTTTAATGCACGAGATGTTTGTGTACATGCATATCAAAGCACAGCACCTTTTCTCAACCTTGTTTATGACACAGAGACCTTTGTTCACATGTTTTCCTGCTGACTCTCTCTCCACTATTACCCTATTGTCCTGCCACATCCCCCTCGCAGAGATGGTAGAAATAATGATCAATAAATACTGAGGGAACTCAGAGACCGGTGCAGTCCTCCGTATGCTGAGCACCAGTCCCCTCGGCTCACTTTTCTTTCTCTATACTTTGTCTCTGTGTCTCTTTCTTTTCTCATCTCGTTCCACCTGACAAGAAACACCCACAGGTGTGGAGGGGCTGTCCCCCTGCAAGCTGGTAATGGGATTTATTCACTGTCTTTGGGTGAGAGGTTTCAGTGTAATTCCACGGTGAGTGCACTCTGATTCCAGCACCCTAGGCAAGAGCGATCTGTAGTAAAAACAACGGAAGTGACCATGCCCACACCAGGGAACACAGACAAATGGCCTCTCTCCGCTCCCTTGCCCTGGTCTCCTGCTTGTTGCTGTGGCTACTGCTGCTGCTCCTGACCCTTGGCTGATGCCTGAGTTCCAGCTTTCTTCCCATTTCCTTCTCTCACCCTGCAAGCCACTGTAGAGGACACTTAAACATGGTAGTAAAGACCTTGGCCTTTAGAGGTAGGTAGCTGTAGGTTCAAACCCCGACTTCATCACTTTCCTGTGTGACTTCGGAACATTTACTGCTCCTTTTAGGACCTCTGTTTCCTCATATGAAAAATATCATCTTAGAGAACCTGCCTCAGAGGATCTTTGGAGTGATGAAAAGAAATAAGTATAAAAAGCCTGGGCATGGGTGGCTCACACCTGTAATCCCAGCACTTTGGGAGGCTGAGGTGGGCAAATCACTAGAGGTCAGGAGTTCAAGACCAGCTGGCCAACATAGTGAAACCCTATCTCTACTAAAAATGCAACCATTAGCCAGGCATGCTCGCTTCAACCCAGGAGGTGGAGGTCACAGTGAGCTGCGATCGTGCCACTGCACTCCAGCCTGGGCAACAGAGCAAGACTCAGTCTCAAACAAAAACAAAAACAAAAAAAACCCAAAGAAGTAAAAATGTGCCTGGGCATAGTAAGTGCTTAATAATGACACCTATTATTATTATTGTCACTGAGTCCTATCATTTCTTTCTTAGTAGAATCTTTCCCATCTATCTTCTGCCTGATAAACTCCTACCCAGCTTCCAGGCCTGACTCAAAATGCCATCCCTGTGAAACCTCTTCTGGTCCCTTTCCCGAACACCCAGAACTGATTGACATTCCCATTGGAGGGACATTACACTCCCGCACTGCGCTGGGTACCTGGCTGCATTACCCAAATTCTACTCTGATTTGCAGGTCTGTCTCCTCTCCTCTATAGACCACGAGTTCCTGCAAGGCAGCAGGCAGCTCAGATCCCTTCATCTCATTGCAGGCCCAGAGTGTGAGTGCAAGTCATCATTTTTCCCAGTGACTTAATCCCATCCCTGCTTCTAAGACCTTGGCATAGCCGTTTCCACTTCACGGGGCAACTATGATAACAGCTGTCTGATTAGTCCCCCCTAATTCAGGCTAACGTGTGGATTAGGTAAGTCCCTGCTCAAAACCCTTCCAGGACAGAGCAGAATTTTTGAAAAAATCCCAGAGGTGGAGCCAGACCTGGGTTTAGCTCTAGTTTTGCCACCGGCTGATGTGATCCTAAGCACCTGGCTTTACCTCTCTAAGCCTTAGCTTGGCCATCGGTAAAACCAAGGCCCTCCTGCCACAGGGCACTCGAGGGGACTCAGTGAGAAGTGCATGTGAGGATGTGTCAACATTACCTGAATGTTAGTTATTAGCATCTATTATTTTTGAGAGGTAGTGTATATCGGGGAGGAAGGAGAGGGTAGCTGAAAAACTTTCTGTCCTGGAAGTCACACCACCTCCTGAATGGTAATCTTCAGCAAGTTTCTGTAGTCATACAAAAAAAAAGAGGAGCGCTCTAAGATTTTTCTACTCCTAGGATCCTGTTTCCTCCAGAAACTGCATTTGAAGCACTCTTTGTGAGACCAGTCCCCAAGGCAAGGGGGCAAAAACTCTTATCCACCCTTGAAATTAAATGCCAGTATCAGAGAACGTCTGTGCAGTCCTTTACCACGCACTCCCATATCCATTCTTGTATTTGAAAAGGGCTTTAACGCGAAGAAGTCTCGGCCAAATCTTGACGGGGGTATTCTCTACATGGTGGGACTGGGCATCATTTTAATTTTGTGCTTTTCTAAATCTTCGAAATCTGCAATTTTGGAACTAGAGAGATGATGGGTGCACAATATTGTGAAGGTACTAAATGCCACTACTCTGTCCATTTCAGAACGGCTAGTTCTATATTGAGTGTCGCCTCATTTAAAAGCTTTCAATACGCTCACCATTTATAGTAATTCTTTAAACCGTGGTTTGAAGAGAGAAGTACAGTCGATATCAAGGCTCACGGCCGCGGAGTCGGGTGACACTTGGCTCCGCCCATTTGTCCAGGTCGCAACCGAGGCTGCCAGCCTGTAGAGCACTCCTCCGACCACGAGGGGACAATGCAGAGCCGTCACGTTCCCCACACTAAGGCGAGCACCGCCTCTTGCGTCTTGGAAGCGCGTGTGCGTGCGTGGGGCGTAGCAAGGGACGGAAGCTCGGCCGGCACGAGAGCCGCAGTCTAAGTCGGCTGTGTCTTGCAGCCGCTGATGTTCGTGGCCCAACGTCCCAATCCTTTCCCGTCCTTGCAGTCCCACCCCACACTCAGCCTTGCCTCCCTCGAGCCGGTCTCCGACTTCCATTTCCCACCCTAAACCGCCTACCCGGTTTCTGTTCCCCGCCCGGTTGTCCTCGGCTTGCTGTGCTGAGGGTCCCCTGTCAGCCTCGACCCCATGGCGCTGCAGGCGCTGCAGAGCTCGGGGGTGACCTTCCGCAAGATCCTGTCTCACTTCCCCGAGGAGCTGAGTCTGGCTTTCGTCTACGGCTCCGGGGTGTACCGCCAGGCAGGGCCCAGTTCAGACCAGAAGGTGAGCCCGGGCAGTCCCCGTCAGCCCCACGACGGGGAACTGTCTGTTCTCACGAGTCCCGTTTTGCCCTCGATTCCTTCAGAGCCGGAGAGCTGCCTGTCCGCTCTGCACACTCCACTCGTCCACGAGCAGAGTGAACCATAGGTCTGCATTCCTAGTATAACGACAACGCGAGTTGAAGCGACGGTGTTGAAGGGTACTTAGGAATCCACGTGGGTCTAGAGCAGGAGAAGCAGTTAAGCATAAGGAAAAGTCGCTGCAGGAGCAAGTGGAAGAAAGGAAAGGAAATAGTTATCAGGTTCTTTCAGTGTTTTCAGTCGGGTGGACATCGGAATTTTCTGGGGAGCTTTTAAGAAAATTCTAATGCTCGGGTTCCGCCGATGGAGATTCTGATTTAATTGGTTTGGGATGCGGCCTGGGCTTCAGGAATTTAAGAAACGTCCCAGGTGATTCTAATACGCAGCCAAGTTTGTTGAGAGTCACCTCTATAAATGTAGGAGAAAATGCAAAATGATCTTCTGACTTCAGGAAATTGGCGGACTGGTTGTAGGGCCCGGGCAGGTGCAGTGAAAGTAACTAACAACAAAAGTTAGTGCGTGACCAGTATATTTACCCTCGCTCAGCACATTTAACAAGGGTCTGAGACTAGGCATTGTTACTTTTCAGAGTTGACTCAGCACAGCCTCATTAAGGGTACAGTTTTCCTTGTAGTTTGCAGAATTCAGTGTGCAGGTTTTAATTGGTTCCCCTGCATCTGGATACCTGACTGTAGTCTGTCTTCTGATTAACATCCTGCCTGTTCACTTCCTGGTGAGGCCATCTATGCTGTTGCTTGGATTTCTGTTTCCCACTTATACTACTATTTAATATTTTTCTTTAAATTGGCAGCATATGAGAAATTATATGTTATTGTAGGCTAGTTATTTTTTCTGAATATACCTTAACGTAATTACACATTTTTAAAAAAACATGTTTATTCTATACTCGCCTCGCCACCAAATCTTAAGTGTCCCCAGTGGTCTGTAGAGTCACACTGTGGTAAACAGAGCAGGCGTTAGCCTCCTGATGGCGACCTCTGCATTCTGCCATGGAGGTTTTCCTTTGAGTAGACCTGGAACTTCTGCAAGACAAGGTCCTTCCTTCCCATTCCTTCACTTTTGATTCCTTACATTCAAGTGAACAAGTTGTAGATTCCAACACCTAAATCTCTCTCACATCAGTCCGCATCCTTAGCGCCTTAGCTAATATAATTTCATTTCTTACCTGGAATCTTGCCATGGCTTCAGATCTAATTCCCCCCACTCCCTTAGTCCCTCCTCTCTCCAGTCAGCTCTTCTGCAGGAAAATTTTCTAGTGTGGCAAACAGCCTCCCTTTCTGATCTCATCTCGCACCACATAAATGTGTTCTATTTCAGTCATATCTAACGGCAGCTTCCAGAACATGCCGGCTCCCATATCCACAGGGCACTTTCCTCCAACACGGCTCCCTACCCTTCCCTGTGCTTCCCCCAGTGCTTCCAGCAAGTCTGTTTAACTCACATGTCCTTCAAGACTCAGGTTTGTCATCTCTAGGAGAATTTCTCTTTCCTGTGCTCCTGATCTGATCCCCATTCTGAGTGCAGCTAGTACATTTTGCATTCCTCTGTGAAGTCAATGTAGTGATCATTTGTTTATTCTCTCCAGTAGACTCTGAGCTCTATACTTCTACCCTAGGGCCTGTCAGAGCTCATTATAAGTACTCAATGAGTGGTTGGTGAATGGGTAAGAGATAAAATAACTGACTTCCTTTTATAAAATATTTCATACAGTTTATCCAGATGGTGCTAATTTGATCTGGAAGAAGAGCGGAGCACATTTAGCTACATTTGTGAAAGGCAGTGTAGTGCAGTGGTACAGCACACACAATTTGGAGCCAGACCACTTAGGTCTGCCACTCACAAGCTCTGTGTCCTTGGGCGAAGAGCATCATCCCCTGTGAGTTGGTTTCTTGTAAAATTGAGATAATAGCAGTAGCTACCTTGTAGGGTTGTGGTGAGGATAAATGGAGTGACTGCGTATGTTATCCATAAAGTGTTTAAAGAATGCTGGCACAATAATACATGTTAAAGAAGTGTTTGGTATTATTACATTGATGAAAATGAAGCTCAAATTGGTTCCAGAGACTCGCTCACGTTTCTGATGACAGCACCAGGCCTTCTGACTATTGATCATAATTGCATAATATGTTAGAGCTTTTCCATGCTCTCTTGCTGCCTTTCTAGGAATTAATACTGAAATTATTGTCTTTTCTTCACTCCGCAGAATGCTATGCTGGACTTTGTGTTCACAGTAGATGACCCTGTCGCATGGCATTCAAAGAACCTGAAGAAAAATTGGAGACACTACTCTTTCCTAAAAGTTTTAGGGCCCAAGATGATCACATCCATCCAGAATAACTATGGCGCTGGAGTTTACTACAATTCATTGATCATGTGTGATGGCAGGGTAAGTGACTGCTGGCCTTTGTCTTAAGTTGGCTGGTTACTAACCTGGATGATGAGAGTGCCAGCTAAATATGTATGTTCTTGTAGTCAGGAAACATTCACACTCCTGCTGGACGTTGTTATGGTCAGGAAATAAGTATGTTTTTATAGTATGTATGTTCTTATAGTCAGGGAACATTCACACTCCTGCCAGACGTCTTGAACTTGGGGACAGAGCAGGGACGGGAGTCCTTCCTCATCTCCCATTAACTGTGATTGCAGTGTGAGGAGGTGGTTGGGTGTGACTGACTTTTTAAATTTTTTTTATTTTTTGAGACAGAGTTTTGCTCTTGTCGCCCAAGCTGGAGTGCAGTGGTGTGATCTTGGCTCACTGCAACCTCTGCCTTGTGGGTTCAAGTGATTCTCCTGCCTAAACCTCCCAGTTAGCTGGGATTACAGGTGTGTGCCACCTTTTAGTAGAGACAGGGCTTCACCATGTTGGCCAGGCTGGTCTCGAACTCCTGACCTCAGAAGATCTGCCCGCCTCAGCCTCCCAAAGTGTTGGGATTACAGGCGTGAGCCACTGAGCCCGACCAGACTGACTTTATTTTTTTTGTCTTTGTCCAAGTGGTTCTTAAGTTTTAGTGTGCATCAGAATCCCCTAGGTTGTGTGTCTGTTGGACACACAGATTGCTGGGTCCCACCCCTAGAGTTCTGATCACTAGGTCTTGGGTGGGGATTGAAGATTTGCATCCCCTAACATGCTTCCAAACAGGGCTGAAGCTGCTGGTCTGGAGCCATTGGTCTGGTCAGTGGGAGGAATAGGCAGGCCAATTTAGGGTCAGATTGGAGACTGATTTTATCTAGAAAGAGGGGCAGACACCCCCAGCAAGAAGTTGGAAGTGAAGAAGATAACACAGGTGATTGGGAGCATGTGTGTCAGGTGATAGACAGGAACCTCTTGGTGCTAGGAGATGGGTGGAATTTGACAGTGGGTGTTGGAGAGCATGTAAGTTGCATGGATTCCTTTCTGGTGGGTCATCTGACAGCAGGAACTTTGTTGAACTGTCTTTCAGCTGAAGCATCCCAGTCTCCAAGAGGGCTGTCAAGAGCTAAGCAGAACCCCAACCTGCAAGGATCAGTAGGGGTCTAAATCAGATGCTTCCTAGAGCTTCCCTGGGCCGGGGATGACATACGGGTTTCACTTGCTGTGCCATCTCTGCCACTCATTGCTCAAAGCAGTCAAACTTTGACAGGCATCGAACCACCTGGAGATCCCATTTTATTGCAGATCCTGACTCAGTCTGAGATGGAACCTGAGATTCTGCTTTTTTTTTTCTTATTTTGAAACAGAGTCTGGCTCTGTCACCCAGGCTGGATTACAGTGGCGCCGTCTTGGCTCACTGCAACCTCTGCCTCCCGGGCTCAAGCCATCTACCCGCCTCAGCCTCCCAAGTAGCTGGGACTACAGGCACCTACCACCATGCCTGGCTAATTGTTGTATTTTTTGTAGAGACAGGGTTTTGCCATGTTGCCCAGGCTGGTCTCAAACTCCTGATCCCAAACAATCTGACCGTCTTGGCATCCCACAGTACTGGGATTACAGGTGTGAGCCACCATGCCCCGCCAAGATTCTGCCTCTTTTTTTTTTTTTGAGATGGAGTTTTGCTCTTGTTGCCCAGGCTGGAGTGCAATGGTGCGATCTCCGCTCACTGCAACCTCCACCTCCCGGGTTCAAGCGATTCTCCTGCCTTAGCCTCCCGAGTAGCTGGGATTACAGCGCCCGCTACTGTAATCATGCCTGGCTAATTTTTTGTATTTTTAGTAGAGTGGGGTTTCACTGTGTTGACCAGGCTGTTTACGAACTCCTGACCTCAGGTCATCCACCCACCTTGGCCTCCCAAAGTGCTGGGATTATAGGCATGATTCTGCATTTGTTACAAGCTCCCAGGTGATGCCGGTGCCACTGGTCAAAGGCCCACGCTTTAAAGGGCGGGAGGTTGGAGTACTGACTTGAGAAGGATTTGAAGGTCTATCTGAACTTGGCTAGGGAGTGAGTGTTGTGATTGACTGGTGATGTCTGCATACCCCTTGGGCCATATATTTGCTTTTCTGGTTGAGTTCCAGCCCTGCTTTGCCTGTATTTTGCAGTTGAGGAAACTGAAGTTCAAAGAGAGGAAATGACTTCCGTAAGGTCATGCAACTAGTTTGCAACAGGTCCCCTGACTTGCAGGCCCATGGTGTTTCCGTTACCTCCCAGTGGTTACTTGACTGCAGCTAGAAGGGCTTTCTGCAGTGCTGCTGCTGGAGTTGGGGGGAAAAAGGCTGACACTCAGTACAGCCTTCTATATCCACTTGAGTCATGCAGAACACTTAGCTTTCTTCTTTCTCCACAGTTAATATTATGCCAAACCTATCTCTAATTAGTAATTTTCAAGCAATATTATAAGTTCCAGTAACCAAATGTTTGGGCATAATTATATGCCAAAAGACCATACTTTTTAGTTGACAATTTTTAGCTGCTTTTTATATATTTGCAGCTTGAGAAGGCTGTTTGGATACTGAAGTTCAGCAAAGTGGGTCTGAAGATACTTGTTTATGCAAATGGGACTTTGTAACCTGGGAAATCTACAGGATTTATGCAAATTATTATTGAAATGGGCTTAACTGTCCAGGCACGGCAGCTCATGCCTGTAATCCTAGCACTTTGGGAGGCCAAGGTGGGTGGATTGCTTGAGCCCAGGCGTTCAAGACCAGCCTGGACAACATGGTGAAACCCTGTCTCTACAAAAAATACAAAAATTAGTCGGGCATGATGATGCATGCCTGTGGTTCCAGCTACTCTGGAGACTGAGGTGGGAGGATCACTGGAGCCCAGGGAGTTCAGGGCTGCAGTGAGCCAAAATCATGCCACTGCACTCCAGCATGGGCAACAGAGTGAGACTCTGTCTCAAAAAAAAAAAGAAAAAGAAAAAAAGAAATGGGCTGAACTGTAATTTCTTGTTTTAGCGTGAATAAAGAAGTTTTATTTTTGGATGTTGCTTTGTAATTACAGAAGTGTTTGAAACAGTCAATAGCAAAGGAGAAATTCACTATGTAAACGATGTCAGTGAAAACTTCTAATTAAAGGAAATTTCTTGTACTTTGTAATGAAAAGAGCATTGGAAGACCAGACTGCAGTTCTGGGACCTAGTTTTGACTCTGCTACTACTGGTGCCACCTTGAGCATGTCATTTGTTCTCTCTGAGCTTTAGGTTTTTTATTTCTCAAATGAGGAACATGAACTAAATTATCACTTCTCAAACTGTCTTTGGGGAAGGACCAGTGTTTTTTACTCCCAATCCACTGAGGACCAATACCTGATAGCATCTAAGAGCCGTTCTATCTTTAACATCACATGGACCTAAGTTGAAATAGTGGTCATCTTGTAATTGCCTGGTGGGTTCTTCCTGCCTATTGCATGGACAGGCACTGTGACTGTGGTATTGCAGTAAAGAGTTTAATTAGGCCAGGCGCGGTGGCTCACGCCTGTAATCGCAGCACTTTGGGAGGCCGAGGTGGGCAAATCACTAGAGGTCAGGAGTTCGAGACCAGCCTGGCCAACATAATGAAACCCTGTCTCTACTAGAAATACAAAAAATTAGCCAGACGTGGTACCATGCACCTGTAATCCCAGCTACTCAAGAGGCTGAGGTGCAAGAATGGCTTAAACCCGGGAGGCAGAAGTGGCGGTGAGCTGAGATTGTGCCACTGCGCTCCAGGTGACAGAGTGAGATTCCATCTCAAAAAAAAAAAAAAGAGTTTAATTAACATTAATGTGAGGCTGGGCACACAGGAGAACTGGCGTTGTCACTCAAATCACTCTCCCTGAAAGCTCGGAAGTTAGGGTTTTTGAAGGATAGTTTGCTGAGCAGGGGACTAGGGAATGGGTACTGCTGATTGGTTGGGGATGCGATCATACAGGTGTGGAAAACAGTCCTCATGGGTGGAGTGGGCCTTTTGGTGGGGGAGGGACAACAGGACCAATTGAGTGTTGAGTCATGGTGGTTCTGGGTGGGGTCAGTCAGTTGCCAGAATGCAAATGTCTGAAAACATCTCAAAAGACCAATCTTAGGTTCTCCAGTAGTGATGTTATCTATAGGATTAATTGGAGAACTCACAAGTCTTGTGACCTCTGAACACATGTCTCCTGAGCAGTAAGACATCATAGAAGCTATGCCAACATTTTAGCGGAATTCAGGCTCTTCCCATAACCCTAATCTTGTGGACTTTCATTAGTTTTACAAAGGTGATTTCAGCTCTGGACTGGGGAGGGGAACAGTTTTAGGGAGGGACTATTGTCATACTTGCTTCAAAATTAAACTATAAACTATATTCCTCCCCATTGGTTGGCTTGACCTACGCCCAGGCATGAGCTTGGATAGCCAGCCTGTGAGGCTGGCAGCAAGATGGAGTCAGCCATGCTGGACTTCTCTTACTGTTATAATCTTGTGAAGGCAGTTTCAACCTCGCCTCAGATACCCTAGCGGCCAAATCAGTCTTGGGCACTAAACCTCTCGAAGGTTTTGGTGGAGATGTGTGTTTTCACCAGGCAGGTGTTTTGAGTGGCTTTGGAATCAAAGTACTGCTCTGATCAAGAATTTTATGTATTTCCTTATATTTTGTACTTGTATAAGCAATATCATGGTATTTTACTCCTTTTTGTGCCATTTTTCCCTTCAGCTTATCAAATATGGAGTTATTAGCACTAATATTCTGATTGAAGATCTCCTCAACTGGAATAACTTATACATTGCTGGACGACTCCAAAAACCGGTAAGTGTTTTACAGGCTACACAGTTAGGGATGCCTTTCCTCTCTGAGCCTAACCTTGCTTTGATCATTGTGATTGCAGTGAGATGGAACTCTGGAAATAGAAATGAGTTACTGACTCTTCCTATTCCCTATAAAATTTATTGCCAAATAATATCCACATATTCTCTTGTGATATTGTGATATAAGAAGAAATATGTATTTGGTTTTTTCCCTTGGGCTCCTGGTTCAGAGGTCCTAAAACCCTTGGAATATCTGAGTGATAGGGATGAGAGTGTCTTTTATTATTCATAACAAGTTCCTTTCAGTCATATCTGAGTTTATACTATTGAAGTGACTCTTGATGGGCCCCTAGACAGATTCAGGATAGGGTTGGTTGCCAGGGAGCCAGCCATGTGATGAGAGACTGGACCTTTCAGGCCCGCCACTCCCACCTTCACAGAGGGAAGAAGGGCTGGAGATTGGGCCAATCACCAATGGCCAGTGATTTAATCAGTCATGCATAGGCAGTGGAACTTCCATAAAAAAACAAAGGGGTTCTGACAACTTCTGGGTTGGTAAGCACATCAAGGTGCTGGGAGGGTGGTGTGCCCAGAGATGTCGTGGAGCTCCACACCCTTCTGCTACCCCGTATCTTACCAAGCATCTCTTCCATTCGGGAGTTCTGAGTTGTGTCCTTTATAATAACCAAGTGCATGCAAGTGAAGTGCCTTCCTGGCTGGGCACGGTGGCTCATACCTGTAATCCCAGGACTTTGGGAGGCCAAGGTGGGTGGATCATTTGAGGTCAGGAGTTCAAGACCAGCGTGGTCAACGTGGTGAAATTCCATCTCTACTAAAAATACAAAAAAGTTAGCTGGCCGTGGTGGTGCATGCCTGCAACCCCGGCTACTGGGGGAGGCTGAGGCAGAAGAATCACGTGAACCTGGGAGATGGAAATTGCAATGAGCCGAGATCATGCCACTGCACCCCAGCCTGGGTGACAGAGTGAGACTCTGTCTAAAAAAAATAAAAAATGCCTTCCTGAGCTCTGTGAGCCATTCTAGCAAATTATGAAGCCAGAGGAAAGGGGAAGTAGCCCCTATCCCTTTCTAGTAAACAATCCTTGTACAGGCCACCTGGACTTGTGATTGGTGTCTGAAGTTGGGGAGGCTTGTGGAACTGAGCCCGTAGCCTGTGGGATCTGACTCTGACTCCAGGTAGCTAGGGTCAGAATCGAATTTAGTTGTAGGACAGTTAGTTGGTGTCTGGAGGGCTGGATAATTGGTTGGTGTGACACCCATATTTGGAGTCAGAAGTGCTGGGAGTAGAAGCTGGGTCGCAGTCCACTCTCCCTCCTGCTGCCCTCCCACTCAAGATTCTCCAGTGACTGCATTGGGCTGCAAGTTGACTCATTTGGGCTGGGGGAGGGTGGCAGAGGAGGTGCCTAGTGCCTCAGTGGAGCCTTCCTCAGCAGTACCCAGTCACCTTGTCTCCTAGGACATGTACCACTGAGGCACTGTTTGTCCACTGATGCATCCCAAGGGCAGTGCCTGGATCGTGGGATGCTTCAGTAACCTTTGAGTAAATGAATGCACCAAGTAGTTATTCCAAGGGACTGGTGTTCCCATCCCTTTTATTATCTTTCTCAGGCCGGTGGTGATGCCTTCTCTATTGTCTTAGCTCTTTTGGGACACAGGTAGAGGAGGCTATGGGGAGTAGACTTCTCCTTGGGCTTTAGTAGAAACAGGAAACAAACACAAAACAGGAAAAAAAAAGTGGGAGAGAACTTAAACTTTTAACAAGTATTTGCAATATCACCTTTCTTCTTTTTTTTTTTTTATTTTTCAGATAATCAGTCTGTGTTCTGAGAAGGGGTCTTTCCACAGTTTGAGAACTATGTTAAACAGTTACAGTTGCTAATCTCACACTTCCTACTATAAGGAAGATTTTCATTGTGTGTGAGAGGGTCCCAGGCTCCACAAGAGGGCGATGGATTGTTCTCGAGTGTCTCCCCCGACAGCGATGTGCTGCTTCTATAGCTGTCTACGGGAAAAATGACAGATTTCCATAGCCTTAGCTCACTGATTTGTGTCATAAACATCTCTTTATTGATGTGCATGGGCTGTCAGGATTCTCCTGCCTTACACCTGGGCTTACAGTTTTGTAGTATAGCTCCTTAAAATGTCCAGAAACACTTGATCCGGGCAGGGGTTACACAGGTATATGCATGGACAAATTTATCAAACTGTACCCTTAAGATCTGTGCACTTCACGGTAACTTTTACTTTAATTAAAAACATTTTTAAAGTCCAGAAATGATAGGCTTACTGAAATTTCATATCTATACAGATAAATTTCTCATTTCTAAGTTGGATGACTAGTAAAGCTCATAATTGAGCAATTGGAAATTTGTAAATATTTTATTTCCAAGGGTTTTTTTTTTTTTTTTTTTTTTTAATATGCAAGAGATGGGCCAGGCACGGAGGCTCACACCTGTAATCTCAGCACTTTGGGAGGCCGAGGTGAGTGGATCACTTGAGCTCAGGAGTTTGAGACCAGCCTGGCCATCATAGTGAAACCCCGTCTCTTCTAAAAATACAAAAGTTAGTCGGGCATGGTGGCGCATGCTGGTAATCCCAGCCATTAAGGAGGCTGAGGCAGGAGAACCACTTGAACCCAGAAAGTGGAGGTTGCAGTGAGCTGAAATTGCACTACTGCACTCCAGCCTGGGTGACAAAGCGAGACTCTGTCTCAAAACAAACAAAAACAAAATATATAGCTTGATGGACATCAAATTAGAAGCCTTGAGTCATATTCAGTCCTGCCACCCATTAGCTGTTACATAAACTTGGGCATCTTGTTTTATCTTTCTGAACTTCAGTTAATTTATCTGTGGAATAAAGGTCCACAAAGGTGTTGAAAATTGGAAGCAGGGCCAGGTGCCGTGACTCATGCCTGTAATCCTAGCATTTTGAGAGGCTGAGGCAGACAGATCACTTGAGGCAAGGAGTTCGAGAACAGCCTGGACAACATGGAAAAACCCCATCTCTACTAAAAATACAATAATTAATTGGGGGTTGCGGCATGCCCCTGTAATTCCAACTACTCGGGCTGCTGAGGCAGGAGAATCGCTGGAACCTGGGAGGCAGAGGTGAGCTGAGATTGTGCTGTTGCACTCTGCACTCCAGCCTAGGTGACAGAGTGAGACGTAGTCTCAGAAAAAAAAAAAAAAAGAAAAGGAGTATTGCAAGCAGGGTAGTAGTGCTGGGAAGAACGCAGTGTTTCAGAATCCAACAGATGTAGGGTTAGGATCCCAGCTCTGATGCTTGCTAATATTGTGACCCTGCACCACTGGCAGTCTCCCTAAGCCTCAGGGTGTTTGCATCTGTAGATGAGTCTGATGGCGCTGACCTCAGAGGGTTCTGAAATGCCTGGTACTTAGTAGACACTCAGAAAATGGTCTTTCCCTTCTCTCTGTGCCTTTGCTTATCTCAGTTATTTTGAGATAGAAATTGAATGTTAAAATGTTATATTATTCTTTGCATTATACTTTATGTTTAGAATATTTCAAAATTTTTAAAAAGTCTTTAGAAACCAGAAATGCCATGAAATCTCAGAATGTAAGCACTGGAAATGACCTCAGGTTTTATCTAACTGTTATATCCTTGTAAAACAAAAACAGCAATTCAAGACAAGTAGTAGCAACCATGCTCATATCATGCAAAACTCTGCATTTCTCAGCTGACTTGGAGAAGAAAATGTTACTGATAGCAATGATTATTTTCTAAGGCTTTTTGTGCTTCTAGCACAAGAAAATTAGGGTATCATAAAATCATTTGAAAGTGTTGAACATATTTTTTTTAATTGAGAATGATAAATGGGCAAATTAACTCTCTCTTCCACCTTGCTCCCAGTTTTCAACATGTGGAAATCACTGTTAACCAGAATGATAAAAATTTTTAAACAAACTACCACTTATAATGATAATGATTTTAAACAAACTGCCACCTCTAGGTGGCAGCAAGTATTAATCAGACTTGATAAACAAATCTAATGAAAAGAGGGTGGTAGTATTTTGGACAAGAAAGTTGGGTAAATATCTTAAGAAAGAATTATGAGAATATGAGTATGAATTCTTTATCTTTATGTGTTTTAAAAGGAGTCACATTAAATTATGTTGTCTAAAGCCCCAGAATTGTCTTGCATCTTACAAATTGAAATATAATTTCTCAATCACTAACAATTTAAGTCTTTAAAAGGAATATAGACCAGGCGCGGTGGCTCACACCTGTAATCCTAGTACTTTGGGAGGCCGAGGTCGGGGAATCACCTGAGGTCAGGAGTTCAAGACCAGCCTGGCCAACATGGCGAAACCCCATTTCTACTAAATAATGGAAAAATTAGCCAGGCATGGTGGTGCACACCTGTAATCTCAGCTACTAGGGAGGCTGAGTCAGGAGAATCACTTGAACCCAGGAGGTGGAGGTTGCAGTGAGTTAAGATCATGCCACTGCACTCCAACCTGAGTGACAGAGCAAGACCCTGTCTCCAAATATATATATGAGTATCTTGCTTAAAAAGATGGACTTTCTGGGAAAAGTTGAGTGTAAGTTAAATTTTTATCATACTTTACCATTAACTTATCTCATAATTGATGTAATACCCTAATTTTATTTTCAGTACAACCTTAAGTTTCTGAGTTTGTTAATATTTTCCCAAGTAAAAAACCATGGAATTTAAAGTGTTTAATATAGCATTGTGACCAATCTTTTTTTAAGCCAAGAAACCTCTCAAGTAATAATTAATAGTTACTTTCCTAGTTAACATAATTTTGGATATTTGTATTTTACATTGTTTTTAGTGTATAGATAATTGTGCTTGAGTTTTTAAGGCATTTATATTGACATGCAGTGGTTTTTTTGCCACCTTGTTAAGAGGATTTTAATTTATTTAATGTATTCGTTGCAATATATTTTGCCTTTTAGTAATGTAGCTTTATTTAATTTTAATTTTATTTTTGCGACAGGGTGTTGCTTTGTCACTCAGGCTGAAGTGGAGTGCCATGAACACAGTTTACTCAACCTCCCGGGTTCAACCAATCCTCCCATCTCAGCCTCCTGAATAGCTGGAACTGTAGGCACATGCCACCATGCCCAGCTAATTTTTGTATTTTTTTTTTTTTGTGAAGATGGGGTTTTGCCATGTTGCCCACATTGGTCTTGAACTCCTTGGCTGAAGGGATCCACCTGCCTCAACCTCTCAAAGTGCTAGGATTACAGGCGTGAGCCCCCATGTATGGCCTATTTTTTAATAACAGCTTTGTTGAGATAAAATTCACATACCATACAGCTCAACCATTTAAAGAGTACAATTCAGTGATTTTTACTATATTCACAGAGTGCAACCATCACCGTATTGTAGCTTTATTGATTAATTTTTTTGTGTGGGTAGAAAAACCCCCAGTGGTATAAAAGATCCCTAAATTGGGAGTTGGAAAACCTGGCTTACTAATTCTGGCTCTGCCCTGCTATAAGCAAATGTTTGGGCTGCTAGCGTTTGAAATGCACAGATTGAGCCATTCATTTCTTTATTCAAAAGACAACTGTTTCTTCTCTGTGTATGCCAAAGGAATTTTTTGAAATGATACCATGTTGCTTGTCCTCAAAGAGCCCAGAGTCCAGCAGGTAGATATTGAGTAAGGTTTCATCCAGCTGTAATGTTCAGTGTTTCTTCTTCATCCTTAAGCAATGAGTATTTAGAAGAGTTAAACCCCCTGGTCGTTTGGAATGGAACAGTTCTGGTGGACGGTTGAGTATTTGAACAGTAGGTAGGGCTGTGGTCTTTGTGATTAAAATTTCACTCTTTGCAATTCAAGTAATCTCTCCTTGTGACAGTTTTAGAGGAGCCCACATGTGACTTTCTCTTTTTTCCTGTCTTGAAAGGTACTCACAAATCTCTCCTTTGAACGTCCCTTTAAGCAATGCCCCTTTCTCTCCAGTAAAGATTTTCCTCCCTGGCAGTCGTGCTAATGTTATCTATGCAGTTCAGGTTGGGGCATTCCCAGTAAGATACAAACAGCTATTCACAAATCTGAGCACTTTCTTCTTTTCCCAGGCCTCTCTGGCAGTGTCCCAAGAGTTCACTGGCTTTTCACTCTGAACAACAAATAACAGTGCTGCTGAGACAAGTTCCTAGTTCACCTTTCGTTGAAGAACCAGATCAGCACAGTAGCAGAATCTTCCGAATTGACATTTTTCCTTTGAGTAAGGATGCTTTTATTTTCACCCTCTTAACCTTAAATAGCAGACTGCTTTCTTACAGTCTAGGTAGAACAACTTCCTTGGAGAACAAGTGGTATTTTGTTAACGAGGAAAATTTCCCCAAACTTTTCTTTGCATCTTTGAGTTGTTAGCGTCTCAAAATAGCTCCTAATTTCACTGGGTTTCTAACCCATCAAAAACAGAGGTGAAGGATTATTGAGAAGGATGTGTGATGAATGGGGATGAAGAATGGGAATGTGGAAGTAAAGAGACATCACAGAGTTGTGGAAAGAGCACTGGGTGAATCCTGGGACTGGATCCCGATCCAGTTTGCCACTAGTCTCTTGGAGAAATCGTTTAACCCCCTCTGGGCCTAAGTTTTCTGTCAGTAAGAGGGGGCAGTTGCCCTCCTAGATTAATAATTCAGTATGGAATACAGCCATCCCTCGGTGTCTATGGGGATTGGTTTTAGGACCCCACCCTCAGATTCACGTCTCTGATATAAAATGGCCTAGTATTAACATATAACCTATGCACATCCTCCTGTGTATTTTAGAGCATCTCTAGATGACTGGTAATACCTAATACTGTGCTTAGACATCACGTCATTCACCTGCCTTCAACATACTAATTGGCCTGTGGCGGCAAATTCTACGTTTGCTTTTTGGAAGTTTGTGGATTTTTTTTTTTTTTTTTTTCCCTGAATGTTTCCCATCTGTGATTGGTTGAATCCATGGGTGCAGGACCCACGGATATGAAAAACCAGCTGTATAAGGTTTAGGAAAGTTATTCAAGGAATAAGCATAGGTGTTTTTATAGGACCTTAAAATTTGTTTTAATCATCTTTCAAGGTAAGTTAACCAGAGTAGAACCATAAATCAGTGCATGAGAATAATTCAGAATATTCAGAGCTGAATTTGCCAAGTAAAAGGGTGTGGTCCTGATTTTTGTTGCCAATTCATTATGCAACTGTAGGCAAGTCATGTTCCTGGCTGGTCATGGGTTACTCTCTGCAGATGATTGCAGTAATGCTGAACTCACCTAAGGGCTGAAAGGCTTAATTAAGGTCCATTAAGTCCTCAGAATTGTAAGGGAGTAGGGGGTAGTATTGAATCAAGTGGCGTACCTACCGTATATGATGTTTGTATGTTATAAATATTCCCTTAGAAAAAAGTAGGGAAAAAAGGTAAAAGAATTTAGATTCTGAAGCCTGATTGATAAAATAGTAGTTATGTGTTTTATAATGCTGTTTTTCACAATTAGAAGAGAGGAAACTATGCCTTGGGATACTGCAGCATTCTCCTCTTTCTTTGCTTTCTGATATTTATTTTGCAGTTTCTCATAGTGTATCTTTTATGTGCCATCTTAATTTTGTCAAAAATTATCTGTATTTGATGAACAAAAGGCAACTTATGCCCTGTTTTCTAGAATAGGTGAAAAATGTGTCAATAGTACCAAATGATTTAGAGATGGTAGATACATTTTAGACATATGGGAGTCTTTATTAGGGACTTCTAGACCCTTTCCTTTGTGTAGAAAGTCAGTCAGAAACAGTATGATGTTTTAAAAAGATTATGGTGGGAGTGTAAATTGGTATAACCACTCTGAAGAGCAATTTGACAGCAGTAAGTGTACACCTTAAAGCAGTAATTCTCAAAATGTGGTCCCTGGGCATTAAGAACATGTTAGAAATGTACATTTTTCAGCCCTCACCCAGGCCGCCTGAAACAGAGCTCTGGGAGTTGCATCCGATAATACACATTTTAACAAGTCCTCCAGGTGATGCTAATGCTAGCTAAAGATGAGAACCCCTGGCCCAGAGAAACTCTTGCCTTGTGCACTGAGAAGCGCACACAAGGAAGCTCATTTCACTGAAGGGTTTGTGTGCAGTAACTCACTTGATCTTTCTAGCAGCCTTATGAGCTTGATTCTGTTATTTACCCCATTTTACTGATAAGGAATTATGCCCATAGTCACAGAGCTAGTAAGAGATGGAGTTGGGATTTGAACACATCTCTTAACTACAGTGCAGTCTTTAAAAGTAAGAATCTTAACTACAGTGCAGACTGGAGCTCTTAGTATTTTTTTTTTTTTTTTTTTTTTTTGAGACAGAGTCTCACTGTGTCTTTCAGGCTGGCGTGCAGTGTCATGATCATGGCTTACTGCAACCCACTGCAGCCTTAACCACCTGGACTGAAGCTGTCTTCCTACCTCAAACTCCTGAGTATCTGGGACCACACTTGTGCATCACTATGCCTGGCTAGGTGTTTGTTTTTTTGGTTTTTGTTTTATAGAGATGGGGTCTTACTGTGTTGCCCAGGCTGGTCTCATGCTTTGGCCTCCCAAAGTGCTGAGATTACAGGTGTGAGCCACCACACCCAGTCACTCTTTGTATTTTAATGGATTTGCGGAAAGTCTCAGATGGAAGCTTCTACTCTGTATTGAGGAGAAAATTTCTTTCCGAGCAAAGCAGTTGCTAGTATTCTAGGCACTTTACATTTATTATTATAGTCAATCTTTGTGACAGTTCTTTGATGCAAATCATTTGCCCAAACTCACATAGCTGGTAAGTACCTGGACTTGAGCCCATACCTATCTCTAAAATCCATTCTTTTTCTACTGTAGCTAGTTTTCTTTCATTTTTCCTTAGTCAAGTTCAAAATCAATGTATCTAGAAATAGTGAAATAGAGCATGAACTTCCTATGTTAGATGTGGTCCAAGATTATAGGTGAGGTCTAAATAAAGAGGTAAAATGCCTCTGTCGACTAAAAAATTAAGTGATGATAGTGAGATTATAAATTTAAAAATATTAAAGTTTCCAAAGGACTTTTACTCTTTTTCTAAACCTATGATGCATTTCCTCATGTAAGAAGAATATTTGTTTTCTTTGGCATTTTGATCCTTTCCTGTGTCATGATTTCTTTGACCTTGGCATAAAACAAGGAGATTCTGGGATTACTTATTAGAGGAACAATTTTGTGTCACCTGAACCAATATTCCAAGATCTTCAGTGGGAAGAGTTTGAGATAGTTCCAGTGCATGTGTAACCCATGCTTGAGCAATGCTTTTCTTCCCAATGTTCTGCCTCTTTCAGGTGAAAATTATCTCAATGAATGAGGATGTCACTCTTAGATCAGCCCTTGATAGAAATCTGAAGAGTGCTGTGACCACTGCTTTCCTCATGCTCCCCGAAAGCTTTTCTGAAGAAGACCTCTTCATAGAGATTGCCGGACTTTCCTATTCAGGTTAGTATGGTTGCTGCCCAGATGTTCTGCAAGGAAGAGATTTATATCTGAAGACTGCAGATATCCTATTCTCACTCGGCACTGGAGCTGCTACAGTCTTAGTTGTAAATCACATCACCTCATGTGGTTCCGGCACTAACCGCGTGATTTGCCTCCCTACCTCCCAGGTCCCCTCTCCACATCTCCATGCCTGTTGTCCCAGGGTAATTTTGTTGTTGTTGTTAATTTTTATTTTGAAGTAATTTCAAACTTAGAGAAAAGTTTCAAGAATAATACAGAAAACTCCCTAGGCCCTTTTCCCAGATTCACCAGTTTTAGCATTTCACCATATTTATTTTCTCATTCTTTCTGTATCAGTGGTTTTCAAACTTTAGCATGTATCTGAGCAACCAGGAAGTCTCAGGTTAAAACACAGACTCCTGGGTCCTACCCCAGACAGTTGATTTAATAGGTTTGAAGACGGGCCCAAGAATTTTTATTTTTAGAAACAAGTTCCCAAGTGATGCTCATGCCCCTCCAGGGGTCCCACTTTGAGAACCACTGTTTTCTCCATATGTGTAAACATACTATATATATGTATTTTTTCTAAACCGTTTGGGAGTAAGTCACACATATTATGTCCCAAACTGAGAGGGTAGAGCCCCTGGCCCCTCACCCTCACTGCAACCAGAGGAGCCCCCATCTATCTGTTTACTGTAGTAAGGTTCCGTGTAAGATTTCATTTACAAAACAAGTGGTCTGCTACTTTTTTTAAAGTCTGAAAACCACCATCTTAAATAAATATAATCTTTCCTGATTTTTAAGTGTAAGTCAAAGAACTTTATGCTTAGAACATTGGAAAAGCAGTTTAGTCTCTGAATCCCAGTACAGACAAATAAGATTTCATGGAAATTTAAGAGACCTTAGAGGTTTTGTTCTTCCATTCTTCCCTAAATTCATCTACCATGACTACGGCTGTATTTGCAACACTGTAGAGAAAGGCACCGAAGCGCCTTTTTCTCTGGGTGCTTCCAGCTTCACCTGGCAGCCTCCCTGCCTTCCAACAAAAGACATAGGGGCAAAGAGTGGCGTGGCCCCGTGCCAGAATGAGCAGGCCACATGCACTGTGTGAGCAAAGGGAGTCACTTTATTAGAGTGATTCCCTTCCCACACTCCCCTGTGAAAAATGATGGAACGGAAGCCTTTTATGAAAGCTGACTTGGTGGGAGAAGATGCAGGACTGTTCTCTGCTCTGCCCCTACCACTACCAGTCCTCCATTTCTTCCCGTCTAGTCAACATCTTCATAGTGTTGGATGGATTCTGGGAGTTCCTTCTAAATCCTGAACATTACTAAGGAAATTTACCAAATTTCTTTTTGAGCTGCTTTCACCTCTTTGAAGACTCCTGAGTTAGCCTTCAAGCTGCTACCAATTTTAGCTGATTTTTGCTGGAACTAGAAGAGAGTAATGAGGGTAGAAAATGGCATGGGCTCTGTAGGTAGATCTCTTTCATAGGTATGAGACCTACCCCAGGCAAAGTGTTGAAAGGCACATTTTCTTCCTGACTTTCATAGGCTTCTGAGAACCCAGTGTCCTAGAATTGATCGGTTTCTATCCCTTGGCAAACCACCGAAATCTCCCAAGCCCTGAGAATATGCCAAAATTCATATTGTCTGCTAATCTCATTTTTATTTATAGCTTTGACATTGTCCATCTTTTTCTAGTTGTGAGATTATGTATGGTCCCTAATCTGTGAAGTTCAGTATTTTTCCTAGGAGTGTGCAGGAGAAGGAACAGAAAAACCTTGTCTGTCTATGTTGTTGGACAAGTGCCTGGTAGTAATTACTTCGGCAGAGGCGAGATCGGTATTACTTGTAGCAATAACAATCCTTTACATTTTATACAGTATTTAAGGACTACTTTAACTGCCCTGAGGTCAGTATTATTCTAAATGATGGGTGAGAAAAGAGTAGGTGGAGGATGAGAAGCTGCGAACTGGGAAGGAGAAAGCTTTATCTTTTCTTCTTTTTTATTTTTATTATTTTTCCTCCACCCACCTCCTTTTTCTCTCTCTCTCTCTCTTTTCTTTTTTAAGACTGATTCCTAACCCAGCCAGGTGTGGTGGCCCTGTAATCCCAGCAGTTTGAGAGGCCAAGGCAGGCAGATCACTTGAGGTCAGGAGTTCAAGACCAGCCTGGCCAACATGGTGAAATTCCATCTCTACTAAAAATACAAAAATTAGTCAGCCGTGGTGGTACATGCCTGTAATCCCAGCTACTTGAGAGGTTGAGGCAGGAGAATCACTTGAACTGGCGAGGTGGAGGTTGCAGTGAGCTGAGATCATGCCAGTGCACTCCAGCCTAGGTGACACAGTGAGACTATGTCTTGTGTCTCAAAAAAAAAAAAGCAAGAAAGCTTTCTAACCCTTTAGTTTTTCTTAGAAGTTAGCATTTAAATGAACAGGAAAGGAGCACCAAATGCATTTTAAAGGGTCACCCTGAACTTTGTCATGTAAGTACAACTATTAAAATGACAATTTTAGACAGTGGTCCTTGGTTTAATATTTATTAAGCAAAACAACATTTCATACCCTAAAGAACTGCAGGTGGAATTTCTGCTCTAAGGAGCTTCACATTAATAGCATGCAGTCACAGTGAGTCAGTGGTAGACTTGAAAAACAACACGTGTGAAAAAGGCAAGAAGGGTGTGAAAGAACATGATGTGTTTAGAGAGAAAGCAGTAGATTGATGTGACTGAAGTCTGTGGCTTAATGGCAGGGAAAATAGCATTTATTATTGGGTGCCATGGACTACTCTCAGTACTTTAAATTTGATAACTAGTTTAATTCTCACAACAACCTTTTGATTTGGGTGCTGTATCATTGCCCCATTTTACAGATGAGAAAACTGAGGCCTAGAGTGGTTCCCTGTCTAAGGTCACTCATCTGGTGCATGATGGACTAGTTTGAATACCAACTTTCTAAAGGTATTTGAACCTTTCTTTCTTGTGTGCGGTTTTATTTGTTTTTCATTATTTTATTTCCTGAAACACAAGCTTGAACCTTTCTGAGCCCCCAGTTTTCTTATTTGTAAAACAGAGATAACTGTCTCACAAAGAAATTTTCAATGAGATAATACATATAATAGCTTCCAACATCTGTTTTTTTTTTTTTTTTTTTGAGACAAGGTTTCGCTCTGTTGCCCACCCTAGAGTGCAGTGGTGAGATCACAGCTCACTGCAGCCTCGACCTCCGGGGCCAAGCAACCCTCCCACCTCAGACTGCCAAGTAGCTGGGACCACAGGTGCACGCCACCACAGCTGGCTAATTTTATTTATTTTGTGTAGAGACAGGGTCTCCCTATGTGCCTTGGCTGGTCTGGAACTCCTGAGCTCAAACAATCCTCCCGCCTCGGCCCCCCGTCCCCGAGTGCTGGGATTATAGGTGTGGGCCACTGCGCCCTCCAGTGGCTGCCTCCAGTATGTTACCTCATTAATAGTGTTCCAAAAATGATTGCTGTTATTATTATTTTTATGGATTATTGTTGGTCACATGGGTTTTCCTCAGGTTGAGACACTGTTGTTTGCTCAATCATCCAGTGATTGATAGACACTTAGGTTAGCTCCATTTATCACTGTTTTATTAGTAACACTGCTGTGAATCACTTTGTACAGATTACTTTCGTTGGGGAAGGGGCAAAGGAGTCACCAACTTCCTTGGATGTGTTCTCCAAAGTGGAATTAATGTTGTCAGCTGTAAAAATTATAAAACTTCTTACACAGACAAATAATGCCTGTCAAAATTTGCGGGGTGCTGTGGCTCACACCTGTAATCCCACCTGCCAGGCTGCAGTGAACTATGATCACACCACTGCACTCTAGCCTGGGCAACAGAGCCAGACCCTGTTTCTTAAATTAAAAAAAATTAGCTGGGTACTTAGATGGGTTGAAACTTGACAGCTGGTTAAGGTCCTCAAGGGATGAAAAACACCTTCAGGCACTCTCCTATGAGAGAGAGAATGGGCTTCTTTCATTGCCAGATTGTCTGAACACAGCCTCAGCTACTTCTAGGAATAAGATGAAGCAGTGAGGAAGTTGCCAGTTGAGTGATTCTTGGGGAAAAAAATTTAACAATTAGTGCCAGCTCTCTAAAGTGTGGATTCTGGATTCTGGTAGAAGCCAGTAAAGAAACGTTTTCTCTGGAGTGGAAGCTAGTAAGATTTATTCTGTGGCGATGAAGCCATCTGAAACCTTACAAGCAGTGTGGTTGGATCGGCGTATGGGAGCTGACTGCCTCAGGACTTTAGAACCCTGCTTCTCTGTGCCTCAGCCGGAACTCAGGGTACTCAGTAGTCACTTGCCAATTTCTGAGAACACAGCACTCCTGAAGGGATAGAAAGCATGAATAATACCCAACCTTTTTAGACTAGTACCCTGTGTCAGGTATTGTAACATTCATTCAGTCCCTGAAATTTACAAACTAGTTGTTATTGCTTCCATTTTTCATTTGAGGATACTGATGCCCAGAGAAGTTGAGTGGCTTGCCCTGAGTCTCATAGCTCGTAATTGCCCAGCTAGCATTTGAACCCAGGCAGTCTTCTTCCTGGAATGCTTGCTCTTAACCCTTTACTGTTCTGAAAGGTCTGTGGTGGTGGGCGTCACTCCTGGTTCACACTTGGGTCAGTCCTTCCCCAGGACCCACTGGGTCACACCTTCCTCCTCACCCCACCCCACCCCAGTGGGCCTCAGCTCTGGCTTATCATAGAGGCCTTCCCTGACCCCCACTGCAACTCCACCACTCCCTGTGTCTTTCCCTGTTTTTGTTTTTCCCAAAGCAGGTTCCATAGTCGGCTACACTGTATCTTATTGTTGGTTGATTGGTTGATCTTTGGTCTTTGTTCCACTACTGAGGATGTGGAGGGAAGGAATTTTTGTCTTGTTTTGCTCCTTCTGTTTGCATGCTTCCAATAGTACGTTACATGTACTAGGTGCTCAGTAAATATTTGATGAGTAGATTATATTGC